TTAGCTGTGCCTGCCACAGCTGGGCTGGGCTACAAAGCAATGTCTTACAAGAATTCTCTCTCAGTCTGATGGCTGCAGCCAAACACTCTACATTTATGTCCATCTCCCTAAATTACAAAACCCTCTACCTGATCAAAACAATAGTTGCTTGAAATATAAACGGAGACTGGACCAGTAGTTGGCGTAATGGCTATGTCACTAGACTTCCAGGTAGTCGACCGTGATTCAAGTCCCGGACCCAGTAGCTTAAACTCATGCCAGGTGTATGTGTGCATGCATAAAATCCCAAGAGGAGAACAGAAGAGAAGGGATTGTGGCGTGGCCATCCCGCCTCGGGGCAATTTCTCGATTTCTGTCTGTCTTGTCTCTCTTTCTGGTGCGTGCACACGCCCTAAAGCAAAAACCTCTCCAAAAAAAAAAAAAGAAAAGAAATATAAACGGAGACTAATGAATAACCAATCAGGTCCTTCCTTACTAAACCACATTATAATGGGTATAATGGTAATCTTTAGATCTACTTTTCAAAGTACTAAAAAAAAATGACTTGTTTATGGAAGAAGAGATTGGTAATCTCTTTTCACTGCATACTCCTATCTAAAATATTTGGTCATGTACCTTTATGTATATTTTCGTATGTATATGTATATTTTCTGTTTAAAAACTATATATATGGACTGAAATATACATTAAGAAATGAATTTGAAAGTGGAAAATTTTAAAGAGCAAAAGAGCTTCAACTATTTTCTCATTACAGCTCCATGACTGTACACTGTGTGCCCTTCTCCAGAGCCTGCTGACTTAAAGAACCACTTTATTCTAGTCAGAGTATCCTTTTCTAACGCACATCATTACTAAGCTCAAGGCTGCTTTATGTCCAGCCTTGTATGATAGACTGTCTGGGAGAGAGTCTGCTAGCTCTCAATTAAGAACTCTCTTTATAATGACTAAGAAATGACACCACTGTATGATAATTATTTACTGATTGTCCATGCCTAAAGGCCAATCTGGGATCTTTCTGGGGGATCCTAAGAAAGCCTCTCGTGATAGAAGCACCAAGAACAAGTATTAGAAACATGAATCTTACTCTTTTTTATGTTTTAAATTGCCAGAGTGCATGTGCTTCCCAGAGACAAAGAGAGAAAGCACCCCCAATGGAGCAGGGTCACACTGACACTGTGATTCTTTTCCCTGCATTTCCTCATCTGCTCGGTGTATTTTTCAAGCCATTGGGGCCAATATTCCAACCACAGCTGGCTATGTGGGATCCAGCTCCCTATGCAGAGGGCTTAACCACTAGGTACTGGGGCCAGCCCTGACTCCTACTCTTAAAGAAGCTACATGTAAAGACTGCGAGGAAAATGCCAGCAATGTAACAATAACAAATGGTGATTCAGAAGAAAAAGGACCATAATCCCCACCATGGGAAACCTGATGACTGAAGGACAAGAGAAAAATGGAAACAAAGACAGTTAAACTGAGGTTCTCAAAGCAAATCATTTCATTTCTCAAAATCAGGAAATTCTGTCTTCTAGAGTCAGGGCCAGTATTTAAGGCTGAGGCATTCTGGCTCGCCAGGACAGCCTCAGGAGGCACAGGATAAGCTTCTTGAAAAGAAGTACAACAGGCTGAATTGGATGACCTTTAATATCCACACTGAGAAATCTCAACTTTCCTTCAGGCTTTTTAGAAGACAACCTGCACACTGCATTAATTTCCGTTCAAACCAGGAATTCTCAGTCTTTTTCTAGTTAAGAGGTATGTAGAGTCTAGGCCTAAATGAAGGCCTAGAAATGTGTGCCTGAGAGTTATCATGTCACTCATGAAGACTTAAGATGAATATTACCCTCAGTTCCTACTATAATACTGATATGCAACAGAGAACATGACCAATGTAAAACCAACTAATGAAACTGGGCATGGCAATGATTCTGTTTTACTCTTTCCTCTGCCCAAAATACCTATGGATGTGTTTGCCATCAGCTAATGGGTACCCAATATATACACATAATTTTTAATAATAAGATAATGGGGCCAGGAGGTGGTGTAGTGGTTAAGGCGCTGAACTCCCACATGGCTGATTGAGTTTCTAGTTCCAGACTAACAGCTTGAAAATCACGCTGGATGTGTGTGTGTGTGTGTGTGTGTGTGTGTGTGTGTCCAAAATCTCAAGAGAAGCATGGAAGAGAAGGGGCTGCAGTGTGGCTATACCTCCTTGTGGGGTGATTTCTCACCTTCTCTCTTTCTGGCAAGCATTACATGCCCTGTGACAAAAACCTTTAAAAAAATTATAATTGTAACTACTGATTATCAAAGACCTACTATGTGAGCTTTATTTACATTATTTCTTTTAAGTTTATTTATTTCTGAAATAAATAAATATGAAAGACTAAAGAGAGATGGAGGAAGGTAGAGGGAGGCGAGCACCCCCAAAGGGTCTTCAGCAGCCAACCCCAGCCTCAATTGGCTTAGATCGTAGGTGCACACCCTACATGTAAAGGGAGGCCCTAGGACATGAACCAGGGACCTTCTCATGTGGGTCCACTTGTGTTACTACTGTGTCACCATCTGGACCCTTTATGTGCATTCTTTCTTTTCTTACATTGAACATGTGAGGGAAACTCATCATCCCATTTTATGGATAAAGAACAAATTGTGAGATGCTACCTTACTTACCTGAGATTGAAATTTACTTAGATTTTTGTTTTTTCTTTTTTTTGGAGAGGTTTTCGCAATAGGGCGCGTGCGCTCACCAGAAAGACAGAGAGAGAGAGAGAGAGAGAGAGACAGAAAGTGAGAAATCACCCCCCAGGAGGGATGGCCACGCCACAATCCTTTCTCCTCCATTCTCCTCTCAGGATCTTGGTCACGCATGCACATATGCCCAACGTGAGTTTAAGCCACCGGGTCTGGGACTCGAACCATAGTTGACTTCAGAGGAGATCAGCGACATAGCCATTACTAAATCAGATTCGGAAACAAGATCTAATTCCAGAATTCACATGTTAAAACTTCTTCAGTCTATGCTATATTCATAAATCTGTTTCATTCTTTCTAAATTTCATTCAAGCATAGGCTTTTCTACTGTCTAGACAGAAGAAGAAATATGTGAGACCAGCAGATGGTGTAATGGTTAAATCACTAGATTCCCATGTAGTTGGCCATGGTTTGAGTCCTGGACTCAGTGGCTTAAAATTCATGTCGAGTGCATGTGCATACATGCCCAGAATCCTGAGTTCTCTTTGGCGAACTCACATGCCCTATAACAAAAATGTCTCAAAAAAAAAAAAAAAAAAAAGAGAGAGAGAGAGAGAATAAAGAGAAAAAAAAATATGTAATTAAAATAAAATGTGAAAAGCAGTAACATGATATAGCAGAAAATGCATCTGAAATACATGTATTCAAGTCCTGACTCTGTTACTCACTAGCAACATTACCTTAGGAAACAGATTTCTAACTTTCTGAGTGCCCATTTTTTTTAATCTATAAAAGAGGAATATAGAACTGTTCTGAAGATTAAATGAACATGTAGTATATGGAATGGTGCCTGAAAATGCAATAAGAAGCATGTAATAAATCTATTATTTTTAGACATATAAAATAGTATGGAAGCAGAGAGAATTAAAAAGATTTACCTAGAAAATGTACAAAGTACATGACATTTCAGAAAGGTTCCTGCCAGTTTTAGTGTCTAAATTCAGTACATGAACCTCTTTCCCAACCAAACCTCTCAGGACAGCCCACTGGTGTGCCCAAGGCTCATGCTATCTGAACATCTTGGTAGTGCTAACAGTAAACCTTGCCTTGAGGGTCCAGACTGGAAGGAAAGAAGAAATACACCTGGCATGTAAAGTGTTGGACCTGAAATTGAAGGGCTCTCAATGCTGTTAAACTTCTGGATTGAATGGGTAGGTAACTGGCTTTCCAACTTTCCCACTGGCTAAAGAGGAATGTCCTTCTCACTCCAGGGCACAGTTCTCTTCTACCTCGATCAGGTAGAGAAGTCCCTCTACCTAATGGAGCTTGGAGACTGGGTATCGGAGGGATGAGAGTGTGCCAAGACTACTTCACACACCTCTGCCTCAAGGTTGGTCATTTGGAAGAGAAAAATGAAATTAAATTTCTTGGAGTAAAATGCCTGGATTTTACTCTCAAAACTGTGCAAAGACTGGCCTGTTTTAGGTTGAACATCAAACTACAAGCATTTAAAGAAGTGAAGGGTTCAGTGTAAATTACACATGAAAGAGTTTGTGCTATTTCTGCTGGGGAGTTAAAAGGACTTTTAAGTTATGAAAAAATACTTTGTGACCTTTGGAAAAACAATATAATTATTTTGATTCTTCCAAATATAATCCTTGAGATAGTTTAAATAGCAGGCAACATTATTAGAAAAAGCAAATATTGTTTTAAAATAAATTAGGCTGTAGGTTAGTGGAGCTACGGGCATTATGGCTGCTCTTTGGAGAGTGACAAGATTCATGACTTCATGTTTAATAAAAATGTCACAGATGCACAAAGATGTTTTTAGGATACTATGCATCTGAAAAAAATGATTTAGGCAAATCTTGTGGATTTAAGAAGAATAAAAAAAAAATCCTCCAAAACTAACATAATATAATTGTCAAATTAATTTTTCTAGCCTCCTTATTTAAACAACGTCGTTTTTTTAGTAGGTCTAAGACTTAAGACAAATTAGCCACATGCTACAAACTGGGCATTTCTGTATGCTAGGTCTTAATAACATTCATCAGGTTTTTAGGAAGTAGGTTTATTTTGATGTCCACCTTCTTTGATCTTGCTACCAGCATTAACTCAGTCAAAATGACTCCCAAGAACACCATTTTGACCTCTACTCACCTCTACTCCTAATACTAAGCAATCACTTCACAATTGATGAAAGAAATTAAGAGAATGACCTGGCAAGCACGCCATGTTGGAAGCAGCTGCGAATCTCCATGAAGAGTTCAGATAAGGCTGAGTACACATAAGAACGATGTACATACCTGTACCACAGGATCTTTTGGTTGGTGTGATTAATGAGACATGAGCTGTGTCTCTGCATGGCCCACCTGGAAACAGAAAGGCAGACGCATCAGTCAGGACACAGTCTCAACATGAGCACAGGTGCTATCTTGAAAAGAAACCTACAAAAGGAAGGATCAACTTCCAAATATGCATGAGAGTTCATACAAAAGATGGTGGTGGTTATGGTAGTGGGTTAATTTTAAGGGCCTAAAAATCAGCAATTTAATCTATAGAGATCCATAGTTTTTCTACATTATAACATGGTTTCAGTTAAGTCTCACATATGTTAAGTTAAAAGATAAAAATTTAATTAGAAATCAGATCCAGGTGAAAGAATATTATGACCTATTAATTTGGGGAGATGAGTTCTTCCACAAAGCAGTAGCCCTCTTAGTTGATCTCAGTGGTTATTTCACATTTCTATTGCAAAGCTAGCCTCACCTGAAGGGGGAAACTCCCAATGGAACAACAAACTGCTTGTCAGAATAAGAATCATTTATACATATATAAGGAAAGCACTGCTGACCAAGGAAGAATATCCAGTTTCATTATAAGAAGTATGTTATGAAGTGGGCCTTCCTGGAATCTTGTGGGCCCAGATAATCTGATGAGATCCAGAGGCATAGCTCACGACTATGCGGGAGAGATGGCCAGTGAGTGAAGACATAAAAAGCAACAGTTTTATTCTGCAGAATCAAGACCACCAACATATCCTGAAGATGACACTGATATACACTCCAACACCCCCCACCATGACCATGCCCTACTTTTTGAAATGAGAAGTCATTGTACAAATAAGAAGGCGAGGTTCTTGACATGACCCGAGAGGGGATGTGGTAATGATCATAAAGGAACAGAACACGCAGGCAAATGTTACATGTGTATTTGAAAAGGCCTCCCAGATGACGATGACTAGCACAGGGCAAACATGGTTACCTGGCACATGATAGGAATTCCTATCATTTAAGTTATTCAGTGAAAGAAAGAAAAGATGAAAGAGCTCTGAGACCTGTTCTTAGAGTCTATGCCACTCATGTCCCTGGGATGAGGGACTTGGAGCCCTCACGTAAGAAGTCAACCACAAGCCCGCTCGTTCCTGTACCAAGGCCTGAGCGGCAGCAACCCTAGAACAGGTGTAAGACGACACAGAAGGGGCATTTTAAAAAAGAGAAAGACCCACGTGCATTGTTGACATTAAGGAACACCTGTGCCTACTCTGTGTCACTACAGCTTAGTCCCATAGTCAAGGAGCTTATAATTTTGTTAGAAAGACAAAATTCAGATACATAAATAAATAACAATACAGTACAACAATAAATAGTTTGATGGAAAATACTCAAATGCCAAAGACTGTGGAAGAGGTAATAGATGCTACATGAAATCAAGGATGTTCACCATTGGTTAGCATTACACATATATGCAAGAATTTGAATTTGAGTCAAGAACTGGAGAGTTGAAAAGTCAAACTAGGGACCGGCAGGCGGTGTAGTGGATGGGGCACTGGATTCCCACATAGCCGGTGACGGTTTGAGTCCTGGATCAGATGGCTTGAAACTCACGCTGAGCATGTATACATGTGGGCCCAAAATCCTGAGAGGAGAATGGCAGGGAAGGGACTGTGACATGGCCAATTTCCCTGGGAGTGGTATCTCACTTTCTCTCTCTCCATCTCTCTGGCAAGTGCACATGCCCTACAGGAAATAATTTCTCACACACACACAAAAAAAAATCAGACTAAAGAGCAGTGTGTTTCAATGGAAAAGTTTTCTACAAATGTCACATTGACCAGAGAAAACTTAACATAATAAAATTCCAGAGGTTCAAATGGGCAACTGTGACAAGAAAATAGGCAACATCAAGAGACACTGAGCCACATACAAAGCCATCACAAACTCGACAACCTCAAGAACTCTTTGGGCACTTATAGCTCCATAAAATACCATAGCTTCTGATCCACATAAGAATGTTTTGTTGTTGTTGTTAATTAAAGCATACTTATTTCTGGGAAAGTACAGACTTTCCCAGAAAGAAGACTCAGTTTAAGTCCTACAACTTCTTTTTTTTTTTTTTTTTTTTGCTATAGGGCGTGTGTGCTTGCCAGAAAGACAGAGAGAGACAGAGAAATAGAAAGCAATCTTCTCTTGGGATCTTGGGCACTCATGCACAAGAGCCCAGCATGAGTTTAAGCCACCGGGTCTGGGACTCGAACCACAGTTGACTACATGGGAGTCCAGCAACATAGCCATTACGCTAACTGCTGGTCCCAGTCCTACAACTACTTCTTACTTGCTGAGGAATCCTGGATAATCTGGATCTTTAGTATCTTTTACCAAAAAATGGGAAAAGTAAAATTGCCAATAAGCCACAGAGGGTTGATGGATCACCTTTTGTTTTTGTTTTTGTTTTTTGTTTTTTTAATAAATAAATAAGCAAACAAATGGGAGGAGGGGCTTCATAGGGCCAGTAGATGGCAAGGTTGAGGTGCCTGGTTCGCACATGGCAGACTGCACAGCTCGAGTCCCAGACCCAGCTGCTTGAAAAACATGGTGCTTATGCATGTGTGCCCAAAATCCTGAGAGAAAAATGGAAGAGGGATTGTGGTTTAACCATGCCCCCAGAGGGTGCTTTCTATTTCTCTCTCTAGCAAGTGCATGCACCCTATAACCAAAAAAAACCAGGAGGCTTCATAAATTATAAAGCTTTACATTATCTGTTACTATCATTTTATCTTCCACCATATTTTATCCTCCCAAAGGTTAAGATTCACATTGTTAGGTTACACTCCATGGTCACAATTATGTAGACTGAGTACTGAACAATGCTCATTAAGCATGTTCATTATTAAGCACTATAAACTGTCTGATTTAATCAGGAAAGTGATGTACACTTTTAAAGAACATTTCGTTGAGGTATAACAAAGAACGAAATACTAGGATGAAGTGTAAAAATATTAAATATACATCCTGACATCCTGAGGGACTTAAATATATACATACTTGCATCAGATCAAAAGGTTAAAACATTTTCAACATCTGCAAAGCTCTGGGAATTATTTTTTAAAATACAGATTCCTGGGACCAGCAGATGGCGTAATGGCTACGTTGTTGAACACCCATGTAGTTGACCATGGTTTGAGTCTTGGACCTGGTGGCTTGAAACTCAAACTGGACGTGTGTCTGTACATGCCCAAAATCCCAAGAGGAGAATGGAAGAGAAGGGATCGGTGTGGCCATCCCCCTAGGGGGTGATTTCTCGCTTTCTGTCTCTGTGCGACTCTGGTGAGCACACACACCCTATAGCAAAAATCTCTCTAAAAAATAAATAAAAACACAGATTCCTTGGTAAATACTCTGGAAACTTTGCTATGATAGGTATACATTTCTAAGCACAATGTTACATTTCTGAACACAATGTAAACATTAATATCCAGGTAGAATTGCCTCTTTGGTCCAGTAGGCAGTACGTCAATCTCATAATCTGAAAGTCTTGAGTTCAAACTTCAGAACAGCCAATGGAATGACTTTCTTTTCAATCTAAAGAAAGGAAGTTAAATATCTTTGTTAAGGGGCCAGCAAATGGCATTGGGGTTAAGGTGCTAGATTCCCACATGGCAGTCCTGGACCTGGTGACTTTCTCTCCCTCGTGTACCCTTATAGCAAATTCTGAAATAATAATAAAATTAAATAAATAATTCTTTCAAAATACATATCTAGTTACTTCCAAATCTCCGGTAACACGCTCTTTAACCTCAATATCTAGCCATGATCACTGAGTTTCCACAACACAGTGAGCTGCACAGAACACAGGAGTCAATAATGACAGAACTAACAGAATACTTTTTATAAAAGGCATAAAATAATTCAGCCAGTAAAATCATAAGAGAAAAGAGAAATCACCAAGTCAAAATTTGTAACAAAATCTGGCTGGGACTCACAAATTAATGCCCTGTGTTTACAAACGTCCTAAAAGATTATCAAATAAGAGAAGGGTTTATCCTTCTAAAAATTCTAGTGAATGAATTTTTGTAGATTTTGGCAAAAACACAGATAACTTTAAGGCTACCTACCATATCTCAACATGCATCATCATGAAAGTATTCTCCTGAGAGCTTGTTAAACTAACAACCCAATCCAATGAATTCACTACATTACAGTAAAGTACAAATAGAACCACAGTTGAGCCTAGACAAATTGACAGCAAGAGTAACTGGCAGTGATAATATACCCCGGCTTTGATAATTGGGCAATATTATAAACAGAGAGCTTACAATGAAGTTTGGTCTGGCAGACTATAACCTATGAAACACTTTAAAATACCAAACAGAAGCATATGAGCATTACTCATATATTTTACATTAATTGTGCTGTCATCCAAATTCCTATACTCTTGAATAAAAGGAGCAGCCATAAGAGATTATATCTAAACTTACACAATTAATCTTTTTTTTTTTAAAGAGAGATTTTTTGCTACAAGGCACATGCTCACTAGACACACAGAGAGAAAGCGAGAAATCACCACCCAGGGGGGATGACCATGCTGCAATCCCTTCTCCTCCATTCTCTTTTCAGTATTTTGGGCATGTGTGCACATATACGTGGAGTGAGTTTCCAGGACTTGAACTATGATTGGCTATGTGGGAGTCCAGAGACATAACCATTACACCATCTACTGGTCCCACACAATTAATTCTAAATCAACCCTGTTAAAATGAATGTACAAAATTAAGGGCCACTCAAGGTAAACCTTTTTGAGTTTCAGTCCAAAATAATAAAAATGTAACAAGGTTCTGAGGTAGTTACAGCTAAGTTCTGAAATTTAGTGGTAAGGGTCAAAGTCAGAGAGCATCTTCTTCATCAAAGAACTACTCACATTTTCATACTGCCTGAGAGAGGGGCTGACATATGACCCCACAAATCACATAAACTCTGCTCCCATTTTTAGCCTTTCTTTTTTCCAAGGTATAGGATGGGCAGAGCTAGCAACTTAATAGCAAGATAAGGAAGACGTTTCGTTAACTGTGAGTCCCACAGGTACATGAAAGGCA